TCCCATTGGTCTCCATGGTGCCAAACTTGTCCCACTCTGGTCTAGCCCCTACACTGATGCTAAGGGAGTCTTTGGGGGAAAACCCAGTTGGTCATAATACTCTATTTTGTGTGTCATCGCTTTCAGAGTCAAGTTCAATTCCTTAGCTTGTCTCTCAAGACTCAGTACCATCTGCCTGCCTCTCTGGCCTACAAAGGCCCCTACCCCCATCTCTGCTCCAGCCAGGCCAACCCCTGTGCAGTCCGCCATGTCTGTGCCGAGAAAGCTGCTTCTGGCTCGGATCCTCTCCCCCAGCCTCTTCTGCTTGCTGTTCCCAGCAAGCATCTCAAGGTCTTTGTGGCACTTTCTGACACTCGCCCCTTCCTTCCTCCAGGACTTTATTATGTCCCACTCCTCTGTACTCGCATTGAACGCTGGGCTTTCCTCGATTAGTAACACTCCTCACACTATTATCATTGCTGGCTTTCCTGACCCCCACAGGGGACTCGAAAACTCCTTGAAAGCAAAAATTAAGTCTAGCATCCCCTGGCCACAGGACTTGCCATCTATCAGAAAGAGCAGCTTGCTTCTACTGAGCATGTGCCGAGCACTTTGCACATCCTCACGGTAACCCTTGCAGAAAAGAAAGGGAGAGGTCTCTTGCTCAAGGATTGACCCCAGGCAGCGTGGCCCAGCTACCCAGGCTCTTACTCCGCCCTCTGTTGCCTCTCCTGGGTGAGCATTCGCCGAGCGATTGCGGAACAGATGAGTGAGCAGGCGGTGGGGCAGCGTCAGCAGCAGTGTGGGTGCCAGGGGTGCTCGGGGTTCGGCAGGTGTGGGAACCGTGGTAGGTTTGGGAGCCTGGGAGGGACAAGGTGAGACCATGCTTAGGAAAGACAGCTCTCGCGGCACTCGCTGCGTGAACCAGAAAGGGGCTGGGAGAGGCAGGAGTGAAGAAGGGAGAAGGCAGGACGTGAGCCGGGGTGGCGGCCGCAGTCGCATCAGCTGGCAGGACACAGACTTGCCTCTGAGGAGGGTACGAGGCGAATGTATCCACAACACTCGGCGCTCGGGGCCAACGGGCGTCTGTTTTGATTTCCATCCGAGGTACCAAGGGGAGCCCTGGTATAATCCCCAGATAAGCCAAGAAGTTGATTCCACTAAATCACCACCTGGGGCATTCATTACAGGTCTCCAGCTGCGTCACGCGGAGATGCAGGCTCCTTGGGCACTGCTTCCCTTGGGAGCAGAGTCTGCGCTCCTCTCTGTGACTTAGAGCTGCTGCTGCAGACACAGTATCAGCAACTCATTCATTCCCTCCCTCATTCCTCGAGTGATTGCCAGGTGCCTAGTATGTAGCAAGCGCTGCTCTAGCCTTGAGAATACAGCAGAGAATGGGACAGAAACGTGCCTGCTTTGGGAGAGCTGACGCTCCAGGAAGAGACACTAGTCTAAGCAAAGGGGCGAGATCAAGCTAATGTTCCAAACCCCCAGCTCCCGGCATTATCTTCCCTCTTCACCCCCTCGTCCCTCGTCCCTCCTCATGGAATTTCTGCAGCTGGTGTTCTGGGATGATATTTTTAAAGCCATTGCTGTAAAAAAAAAAAAAAGCCAGGGTTTCCTCAAGGCCCATGTGGTCCCTGGTGATGAAAGATAGTTCTGCAGCATCCGCTCTGGAAGCCACAGCATTCCCCGACTGGAGCACTGGCATTAACTGTGGGCCCAATGGAAAGGCAAGGACTAAAGGAAAGCTCAGGGTGGAGCGCTTTGAACCCAGGCGAGGATATCTTGTGAGAGGTGACAGGCCCTTGGCTGGCCTCTTCACCACCGTGCCCTGTGGCCCTTAGACAAAGTCTCTGACAACCTCTGACCCCACCACACAGCACACTTTGCACTCTGTGGCTTATGCCGTAGTCTCCATTTAGAAAGGGGGGTGGGGAGAAGTTAATTTGTCACATCTCTGCCAGACTAATGAGTGAGGTCAGTGCTTCTGCGGAAGGTACGCCAAAGACAAAGAATCCTTCGTTTTGTTTTTCATTAACATTTATGTATCAAGTGCTGTTTTAGGCACTTTCATTTGGGCACTTAATTCTCACTGCAACCTTGAGAAGAAGGCATTTTCCTCCAATTTTTAAAGATGAGGAAACCGCTTCAGAAGGTAGTCTGCGCCAGGTCAGGCATCCAGTACGTGACACAGCGCAGGCCCCGAAGCAAATTCTCCAACTCCCAGCGCCAAGCCCCCGCATGGACACTGCACTGTGTGTGTATTGGAGGGTGGGAGGTAAATTCAAGAGGCTACTGCAACTATTCTCAGTAAGTTTCAAGTTTCCAAGAGAAGAATCACACACCCAAGATACCTTATTTCTTTCCTTTCCTAGTACTTTGGGTTAAGGTTGAGCATATAGGGGAAAGCCAGCGCAGGATTAATTAGTTGTATGTGTTCTTAATATGTTTTTATTAATTTTAGAGAGAGGAAGGGAGAGAGAGAAACTTTGATGTGAGAGAAAATCATCCATCGGCTGCTTTCCATCTGCACCCCGATCAGGGATTGAACCTGTAACTTGGGCATGTGCCCTGACAGGGAATTGAACCGGCGACCTTTTGGTACACGGGATGACGCTCCAACCAGCTAGCCACACTGGCTAAGGCAGGGCTAATTAGTTTCAACTTTCCAGAGCAGAGGTCAAACTGTTCCAGTCCTCAGTACTGAGTGTCGCACTTCAGTATATCAGACTCACTGGGGAAAAGACCGGTCTGAAGAAAAATTGCAATTACGGAATTTGGTTAAAGAATGAATGCCATTGGCCATCCGCTCAAGAGTAACTGAAAGTGACCTCTGCAAACACATGCCCGCCAGGCGTGCCTTGAAGAGCTGGTACAGTTCCTCGCTGTGCAGGAATTGTAAGCACCTGCGCACGTACATGCTCAAAGCAAGCTGCGGTCATTTGTGCCTGGCCTAGAGTGCGTGCGCCCTTGCTCATATTGCTGCTTTGCACAGCACATGCTTGCTTTCGGGTAATACGAAGGTAAATCTCCAGCCCTACTTGAACTCTCGTAATTTCTAAGGAGCGAGTCCAGATGAACGAGGCTTCACAGTGTAAGGTTTAAGTTATTTCAGGAAACACCCTTGTGGCAATGACGCTGCCCTCGTTCACATCCAAGTAAGTGAATGGGGGATCTTGTCAGCTGCACCTTCCCAGGCCCCCATTCTCATGCCGGCCCGAAAGAGAATACAGACCAGGCCCAGTACACGGCTACAAAATGTTTCTGAGCCTCACTCCACACATGTCCATGGAGCCTCCACCCTCTCCGCAGCCATGAATGTAAACTGGGATGTAAACCTGAGCTCAAAGCCATTTGATCAGCCAGAAGCTGTGTGGCTAGAAATACTTAGAATGGCCTTGAGAGCTGTCCCTTACTTCTCACCTGGATGGCCAAGGCCCGGCCCAGCCTGCCAGTCACGCAGCACTCACAGTACCTCTGTCTCAACCCAGATCAGCCCCGGCCCTGTGGGTCCTTGACCTCAGAGGCCCCGTGACTGCTGCAGAATTTGCTTAGGGTGCTCTGCGTTGGGATAGCATCCTGGGCCAAAGGGAATACAGATCAGTCAGGCAAAGTGGTGTAAGATCCTGACGGTAGAGCCAGGCTTTCTGGGTTCAAATCCCAGCTCTGCCTCTGATTAGCTCTGTGCCGCAATTGCCTCATGTGAAAACGGGGGATAGTGATAGCACCTATTTCATAGGGTTGTTGCAAGGGTTGAGTGAGTTAATAAAGGTTAGATCAGGGCCTGGCTCACAGTTGGCACTGCTTGTATACATTATACCCTTTGTTAGCTTCTGTGTAATTATAGTTAGTGCTTTTCTCCCACACTGCACTCGCTCTGTGAGGGCAGGGGCCAGGTCCTTTTTTTCTAACCATATATTCCCGGACCCCAGCCCAGGTTTGCCCCTTAGTGGGTCCTCAGTAAACACTTGTCAGTGGAATGAATGAACGAACGAGTGAGTGAGTGAATCCTTACTCTGGTACAAAGTTGCTGTGTGACCACCCACAAGCAGGCCATTTCCCCTCTCTTGACCCCAAGGATGGGTAGGACCAGATGGCGAGTCACTAAGGCGCTCCCTGCCATTCATGACGTTATGATTCGAGGGAGATTATTAGTAATAGCTGACGTGTTGCGAACACTTTCTGCATGGGTGTGCCAAGTGTCTCACGTGTATTAACTCAGTCCTGACCCCGAAAGCTCAGCAGATACGATTGTCTGGCACGGGCGTGGGGGCTCTGGCCTCTTCCAGAAGCGGCTGAGAGGAAGCCTGTGGGGCCGGCCCACTGGCAGAACTGTGGTGCGGCGAGAGCCGCCTTTCACAGGAAAAGTTTGTGCTCCTGACTGGGCCACCCTTCACCCCTTGCTCAAGGAACAGCCCATTTGGTAAGGTCAGGGATAAAGGGCTCATTCTTCCCTCGCCATGTGCAGGAAAGTCAGCCCTTGGTGTGGGGAGTCGTTTCTCAAAATAGAACGTCCTAATATGGTTCCAAGGAGGCCCACAGTCAGGCACGGCTGAGACGGACTTAGCCTCAGCCATGTGACAGAACCTTTGACACGCACACACAAACACGTGCCCGCAACCACACCTCACACACCTCTCACAGGGCAGGCACTGGAGACTGAGCTCCATTCTCACATCCAGAGCAATAGCGCGGGATCCGACCCAGAAAATAGCAACTTCCTGTTGTGGGCCCTCAACAAAAAGGCCTTTATACTGGCCGAGCTCTCGGACCCAGAGGTTTGTGCCCAGCCTGCTTAAGGGCCCGGCGTGAAACCGGATGTGAAGTGTGAGAGGTGAGGCGGGCGCCACGGGCAGACTAAATAGAAGCTTCATTGGCGGCGCTAATCACCAGGCGGAGGCAGAGGCAGCGAGCGCTCCAGCCCCTCGCCTCTCAATGGGCTCTTCACCGCAGGGAAAGCGAGTCACTGACTCATTTGCAATTAGCTGACCTAACGGGACAGAATTTTCCAGGCCGGATTCTGTGGTAACAGAATTTTATTGTCACATTGGAGATATTTTGAGCCAGTCTCATTTCCAGGCAATTACTCTTTTGAGTCTGTGACACAACCCCTGGGCACAGCTGCATCTGGGGTCCTCGATTAGGCACAAAAGCCACACTCTCTCGGGTTCTGGGGGAAGGAGGTTGCGAGTCCGCACTGTGATGTTTTACCTACACGAGCCATGGCCGTGAGGACGGTCAGAGCCAGCAAGCTGCGGCCTGATCAGAACTGTCACACCCTGAGGTCTGCAGAGGACGGGGAGCTGAAAGGAAAGGTGACGGAGAGGTTAAGGTCAATGGGCTGCATGTCCACTGCAGAGCGCTCTTCCTCTCTGTGTAATTCAGTGGTGGGCCAGGCAGGCGAACGTGGGGAAGCGTGACCCTAGGATGGGGTTTTACGCCAGCCCTGCCACTGGCTGGCCATGTGACTGTAGGCAGGACGCTTCACCCCGGGTACTGCTTTTCTCAGCTGTATGACACGGAGCTGGATTATGGGATCCCTAAGGCTCTTTCTAGTGCTGACATCTCACCAAGTAATAAGTTACTCACCAAATAATTACTTAGCACCTACTGGGTGCCAGGCATGATTCTAGATGTCGGGAATATGGTGGCAGACATGAGAAGGCCCCCCGGGAGCTTGTGACTATAAGCCAGAGAGAGACAGCTGCCAAGAATGACACCATTCCGACCTGAGGGGCAGAGGGCGGAGCGTTTAGCTTCTTGAGATAGGACGTTCAGAAAGGCGCTCTGAGGAGGAGGCATTGGAGCTGAGATCTGAAGAATGACCAAAAGGCAGACACGCAAGGAGCCTAGGGATAGGTAGGGGTGGTAGAGCGCGTGCCAGGCGGAGGAAACAGGAGACAGTTCCCTGGGTGGGAACCAGCCGGGCATGCCACTGACCTGAGAGGAGGCTTCCGCCAGGGCGAGCCTGTGGAGTGAGGCGACAGGCGTCCAGGGAGCTTACGGGAGAGACCATCAAGAGGGGGAAGCGACCTGTTGGAAAAAATTAAAAGACAGTTTTGTACTATTGCTTAATGTGGGCTGTGTAATACCCGGGATCTTGTTTTCCTGGGCAGGGCCCAATCTTACTGAGGTCTCTCTGGGCTTTAGAGTGGGTCCTGGGCTGGAATTCCACTGCTCAGGCCTGGGGTCCCACATGGCTGCCGCACGTACGGGGTACCCTTGGGCATCGTGAAAGCCTTGGTATGCTGTCAGTCACCTTGGCAACAGCCCTGGCTGCCTCCTCCCGTGAGTTCCCAGACAGCACCCTCACCCCGCTCCCTTTCCTTGCTGCGCTCGGCTGTGGAGCGGCTGCACTCTGCTGTGCAGGGCGCGCTGTCCCCGGTAGGCCAGACCCTCTGCCAGAAGCTGGATCCCTCCTTCTTGACCGATGAATTGCTGGTTCTCTTCCCATGCTTCAGGCCTGAGAGCCTCCCCCTGCTTCCCTCGGGCTCCCCCTCAAAGAGGCAGAATGGTTCCCTTTGGCCCCCTCGACTTCAAGCAGCAGCCATTGTTGTCACAACCCCTTCTCCCGGCTGTCTCGGCTTCAGCCTGTCTGTCTCCCTCACAGGAGGCAGCCTCCCACCTAATCCCTCGGGGCTCCACTCTCCAACTGTCAAGGAAGACAGATGGGGAGCAGAAGAATTCACACATTCCCACTCTCTCTCCCCTGCTCGCTCTCCTCGCCATCCTTGCTGACTGGTTCCTGTCCTGCCGGGTGGCCCTCGGCACAGCGAGGAAATCTTTGTGTTGACTGGCCCGCAAACTGGGCGCCTCAGAGCTCCTCCCTGTCTCCCCTCTGATTGTACTGAAGGGCTTATTTGCATAGCTGTCTTGGGAACTGAGAAAAAAGTAAAGAACACTTCAGAGACATTTCTCTTATTTCTAATTCTTTCTAGAACTGCTTCCCCTCTTCTTGCAGCTACGAGCACCTGTGTTTCTGACCTGCACAGAAGCACACCCTCCCCCAGGTGGCTCCTCCCGACTCCTCCCACATTCACACACACCAAGCCCAATAGTCTGCCACTTCCTGCCTGAGTATCTTCCAGGACTCCAGTGACTATGAACCAAAAAGATGTTCTTCAAATGATAGGCACTAATAATAACCTTTGAAGCTGTTGACTTGCTTCCTCTCCAAAAGCCTGCTTTTAGGCTGCAGTTCATAATTGAATTCAGCTGTAAAATGCTATTTTTAATAATGTCATTGTGTTTTACTTGGCAGTACTGTTCTCTTGGGTTGATTGAGTGGGACCTATTACATCTCCATAACTAATGATAAAACAACCATCCATCCATATATACTTGGACATGCTGTTACTCATGTTCCCTCTCTCTCTCTCCCCCCCTCTCTCTCTCCTGTATCACTCCTGTGTTCCCAGTAGGGCTATTCCTTCTTTTGGGTTTGACTTCCCAAGACATTCCAGATTAAGAGCCCAGAGTCTGTGTTGCTGGCTGAGTGAACACCAGTCCAGCTCTGGCCAAGATCCTTTGCATTTCTCCTGTTGGATACTCCCTAGACCAAGGTTCGATCTTTCAGAAGTTCACTGATTGTGTCCCATTGACTTTCACTAATAGCATCTTAAGAAGTTTAACTTAAACTATGAACGTGACTGATAATGTGTATATGTAACTTCAAGCAAATTTTAACTTTGTGGAATTTCTTTCCCCTCAACAAGTACCCTTTTAATAGCCCCACTTCCCGGATGGAACCTTGTTTGATGAGCAGTACTCCCAGACTGCATCCTACCCCAGTCACCCCCCGATGGCCAGAGGTGCCCACAGCCAACACGTGCTACACAAGCCCGTCTGTGCATTCCACGAGGTATGGAAACTCTAGTGACATGTACACACCCCTGACCACGCGCAGGAATTCTGAGTATGAGCACATGCAACACTTTCCTGGCTTTGCTTACATCAACGGAGAGGCCTCCACAGGATGGGCTAAATGACTGCTCTCATAGGAACCCATATTTAATATTAATAAGTATTAATAATAATAAACCCATTCAGCCCTCCCCCAGAAGACTTTATCTCTATACATTATAACTCGTGAACCATTCCTAGGCATCCATTTTCCTGACGATCGTGAGGCTGGGATTCAGTGTGGGATGAGTAAACTTTAGTTCAGAAACAGGACCCACTATAGTCAGTGAGGTTGGGTTCCTGTCGCCAAGCCAGACTTGCCTTTCTGTAGAGCACTATCAGACAGGCCATCGGTGCCTTTTCCCTTTGTTCCATGACTTGGCTTTTGTTGCCAGCCTCTCCCTGTAAGTTACTTATTTTCCTGTTGACAAAAGCTCTTTAGTCTTGAAGGATGGATACTGGAGACAGAGCCTGGTTTGTGTTTTTGGATGGGCACATAATTTACCAAGAGCATTCGCCTTGCCATCTGTCTGTCACCTTACTGTACAGTGAACAGCCCTCAGATACGTTCTACGCAGCCTTTCTTCTTGGTGGTGCTTCCCGGAGCACCAGCGCTAAACACAGGTACCTGGCAGCTCCAGATTCCCTGTTACGCTCGTGTCTGTCACAGTCCCTGTGTTGGAATGTGAGCACTGTCTAGAGGCAAGGAAGAGGCCTGTTCTGTATGCCTTAAGTTGACTAAAGTTTGTAGGGGACTAGTTCTTCTACAGACTAGTATTTGTCCTAAGTTTGCACAGTGGCTAGTGTCAGCAATAGACAGGGAGTGGTTTCTAAATTCCGTGATAGCATCGAGTACCACACTCTGCTGTATGACGTTGTGAAACTGGATGGACCAAACATTAACTCACCGAGCACCAAGTGTGAAAGTGACTTGCCCGGTTCCTTCATAAGACTATAATTTCCGACACTTTGATAGAAAAAAATTTCAAAGCTGTGCCTTTGAGCCTATACTATACTGTGTATGTGTGGAAATAAAAATGTATTGTACTTTTGGAAAATTTTTTCATAGGCATTTTTCTGTCAGATTTGTAGCAATTTGTGAGATTTGTTAGAGCTTAACATAGGTTTTCTTTCTGTATTATAAAAAGCACCAAGCAATTATGGTGGACCTATTACCCTATGGGTAAGAAATAAATAGAAATATGACATCGGATGTTTTAGCAATTGTTCTGTAAATAAAATCTTTGATCACACCCACTCTGTGTGATAATCATGTCTACAGCTAAAATGGAAATAGTTTTATCTGTACAGTTGTGCAAGATATGAATGGTTTCACACTCAAATAAAAAGTATTGAAATGACCTGCTTCATTTTGCATTTGATAAGGCCCGTGTGTGTGTGTGTGTGTGTGTGTGTGTGTGTGTGTGTGTGTGTGAGTGATATAAATACCATTCTGATTTAGGGTGTAAGTAGGCAAAACAAAACTAAGTGGTCCTATATAGTCATGCTTATCCAGTTCATCGTCATCTCAATAAAACAATCGTTAAAATGTGGATACTATTCCCAGGTGCAGTCCTTCAGCAACAGTTTAGTACCTGCACACTGACTGAAGTTTGTAGGGGACCCATTCTACACACAAGGACTTAAGTCTGCACGGTGACTGACGTCAGCCAAGGGCAGGGGCTTCTCAGCCCTTAACGGGAATGTTGTTCTTCAACACCAGGATCATTAGGATTTGGTCCCCTGGCGCTTAGTTCACTGTGCGTTAATGATCACTGGGTGTAAAGACATGTCAAGTGCAGTGCTTTAGATGCTCATAAACTTCAGGAACAGACAGTAACATTACTGAATGCTCAGTAAGCATCAACAGATTCTTCCCCAGCCCTGCATTTGGATCCTGGGGCTGAGGACTGAGGATACACAGGCAAAACGATGAAATGTTTTGCCCCAGAGTCTAGGATCTATGAGAGAGTCAGAGCCAAAGATTTCCAGAAATGGCAGTAGTGATATGTTAACTAAAAGGCAGGAGAATTTGACAACTCAATTTGCATTTTGAAAGATTTATTTTTAAAGCCAAGTTTTCACTTGCTATTACATAACATATTTGTACCTGAAAATGATTTTAAGATTAAAATGATATATTTTACATAGCATCCCCTTTAAAAATTTAGCTATGTTGATCTGTCAAAAGAAAGTAGGTGCTGTATTTCACTCTCTGAAGGTAAATTAATTTGATCTTTGGCCACGATCCATTATTTGGCTTTATATGAGGAAAGTAAGGGGAAAGAAGAATGAAATTTCAGATTCAGTCACTGTATAAAACAGATCTGAGGATGCCCAGACCTATTGCTCTTAAAATCCAGAGCTAGTGCTCCAGAAATCAAAGGGTGGAGTAAGTTTGACTTTTGACATACTAATCATAAAAAAATAAAGCAATTGCCAAATTCTCTAGCCAGGTAGCAGCAGCACATAATAAACGACACCCATATACGAGTCACAGCCACAAGCTCAGTAAATGCACGAATCTTTAGGCAAAAACAGCCACAATCAACAAGGACCTGAATCCCAGAGAACAGTCACTCCAAGAACTTTTCGAGGGAGATGAGCATGCCTCCCCCTCACAGCACAGCCAAGAGCTGGGAGCCACTGGGTGTTCTCTCCAGAGCACAAGGTACCCATCTCTTGGGAGGTGAGCACACTGCCTATGTTCCCAATTATTCTCAACCTTCAACTTCAGAACTGACAAGGATTTGACTAGGAAAAGACAACAGCTGCTGTGAGCTCATGACTCAATTGCACCTTCTCTCCCTCTCTGATGGTTCCTACCCCGTCACCAGAATGGGAATGGGCAAGGTTGGCGGCTGGGAGTGGGGCCAGTCACTTGTCAGAGAAAGAACAGAGGAGTCTTGGCAATAAAGGGACACTCCCCTCTTTAGGACTCTTTCTGAAAAGGACTCTGCCAGCTTGAAATTGGCTGGAGTCGTGAACAGCAGCCAGGATGGCTCACCCACGTTGCAGGCCTGTGGCGTCCTAGGCATCCAGCCTGCTGTGTCCTTTGTGAGGCCTCTAATATTA